TTTGAGGCTGTTGACCACGATAAAGAATTTGATATTGTTTACTTAGATTTTAGTAAGGCATTTGATAGAGTTCCGCACCAAAGACTGTTGAAGAAAGTAGCAGCTCATGGCATTGGGGGAAGGGTGCTCTCGTGGATCAAATCATGGCTCACAGACAGGAAGCAGAGTGTGTCCATAAATGGGGTTAAATCCGAGTGGGGATCAGTAACAAGTGGCGTTCCACAGGGATCAGTCTTGGGCCCGTTGTTGTTTATAATATATATCAATGATCTTAATGAAGGAATTACTAGTGATATGAGCAAATTCGCCGATGACACGAAGATAGGTAGGATAATTGATTCAAACGTAGATGTTAGGGAACTTCAGGAGGATTTAGACAAACTCTACTCTTGGTCAGAAAAGTGGCAGATGCAGTTCAATGTAGATAAATGCAAGGTTCTGAAGCTCGGGAGTGTCCATAACCCTAGCACTTATAAGTTAAATAATGTAGAACTTAGCCATACAGATTGCGAAAAGGACTTGGGGGTCATGGTAAGCAGCAACCTTAAACCAAGACAGCAATGCCTAAGCATACGAAATAAGGCAAATAGATTACTGGGATTTATATCAAGAAGTGTAAGCAACAGAAGTCCAGAGGTCATACTGCAGCTTTATACATCATTAGTAAGGCCTCACCTAGATTATGCAGCTCAATTCTGGTCTCCATATTACAGAATGGACATAAATTCGTTAGAAAACATTCAGCGTAGGATGACTAAATTAATACATAGCATTAGAAATCTTCCTTATGAAGAAAGATTGAATTATTATTATTATTATAATCAAAAAGAAGCGCTAAGCCACAAGGACTATACAGCAAGAAGAAGAAAGATTGAAGACTCTTAAGTTACATTCACTTGTTAGACGAAGAATGAGGGGAGACCTGATTGAAGTGTATAAGTGGAAGATAGGTATTAATAAAGGGGATATTAACAAGGTCTTGAGGATATCTCTCCAAGAGAGAACCCGCAGTAATGGATTTAAATTAGATAAGTTTAGATTTAGAAAGGACATAGGAAAGTATTGGTTTGGAAATAGGGTAGTAGATGAGTGGAACAGTCTACCTAGTTGGGTTATTGAGGTTGGGACTTTGGGTAGTTTCAAATTTAGGTTGGATAAGTACATGAGTGGGAAGGGTTGGATTTGAGTGGGACTTGCACATCGGAGCTTATTTCTTGGGTAGCATTGAAAATTGGATTGGTCAAATTTTTGTTAGTGGGATGAATTGTAAAGGACCTGCCTAGTATGGGCCAACAGGCCTGCTGCAGTGTTCCTCCTTTCTTATGTTCTTATGTTCTTATTGTACAGGTACCTGCCCTACGCAGTGCATTTCAAACGTACTGAACGAGCACAAGCAGGAGACCACCAAGGCACGCATTTCTGAGAATGCCTGCCCGAAGTTTAGGGTATAGAATGAGAAGCTGCGTTTAAAACGGAGGACGAGAAGAGGTGTAAAAGCTCATCAATGGAGGATAAAGAAGGAACCTCATTAAAAACAGTTGTGAGTAAAGGTTCCAATTTGCCTGATCAAATTGCCAGCGTGGGTTACGAAGAGGTGGTGAATATGAAGGGGAAGTAAGAATGATTGGGAAATGATCGCTGTCATGTAAATCTGGGAGAACAGACCAGGTGAAGTCTAATGCGGCGGAGGAAGAGCAGACTGAGAGATCGATGCAAGACAGTACGAGTCCGAGGATCAAAATGGGTGCGAGTACCTGTATGTAAAACATGGAGGGGGTGGGTAGCAAGAAAAGCCTCCAACTGAATGCCATGGGAATCACAGTGAGACCCCCCAGAGGAAATGATGGGCATTAAAATCGCCAAGTAACAGAAGTGGTGGCGGTAATGATGAAACAAGAAAGGCAATACCTGGGATAGTTAATGCCCGAGAAGGAGAGATATACAAAGAACAGTGTATACCACCTATGCAAGTGGATACGGGCTGCTGTGTAATGCAGCGAAGTACAAACAAATAGCTGATGGTACGGATGGGACCTTTCATTAAAGGTCCCATCAGGAAAAGGATCTGAAGAATACAATAAATTATAGCCCGAGATGGGATAGATAATGGCAGAGCGTAATTTTGGTTCCTGTAAGCAAACACCAACAGGGGAAAACTGGGAGAGCAACATCTGAAACTCACCCCGATTACCCCTGAGGCCGCGAATATTCCACTGTAAATAGGCCATGATTGGCAACGATAAAGATCCTTGAAATCCATAGGTAAGGGTACCTACGGACTAGAGGGGTTAGAAAAGTCCACATGCGGTGGCAAAGGAAAACGTTCAAGTAGCGAAGGAACTGTGCATTGTGAAGAAAGGCGTTGCGCAGATGGAGAAGAGGAAAGAGAAGGAACAGAGGGTGGATCAGTGTCCATTGATGGTTTGGTCTCTACAATATATTCAGAGATTCCTTCAAGTGTTTCGGAGTTCAGAGACATCGTATGGGAGACAATATTGGAGATGGAAGGAGGAGGAGTTTCAGTAAAGATCAGAGCTGTAATGGACTGTACCAAGGTAGGGGGGGCGAAAGGGTGGAGGGAACTGGAGAAGTGTGGGAGGGGACAGAAGAGGCAGAAACCTGGGAGGTGGCAGAAGAGGAAGAAACTTGGGAGGGGACAGGGGAGGAAGGTACAGTACGAGGAGGATGAACCTCCACACTTGTAACAGAGCCAGTGAAAGGGGAAGACCCAGGTACAGAGATCGGGAAGGTAAAATGTGGACGTGGATGAAGGGAAGGAGGGGTTAAAGGAGATTTTTTGGATCTCTGAGAAGTAGAGGGACAATTGGTAGGTGTCGTACGAGGTATTGTCGATACCGGGGTTTGTGAGGGAGAATACGAAGAAGTGAGGACAGACTGAGGAGTTGAAGTAGGGACGTCTGAGCCAAGGGCAGCAAAAGAATTAGATACAGGAGTGACTATGGGACTGGCAACCGCAGAGGAGGCTGCAGAAGATGTGACCCCAGAAGTGGGGGGATGCTTTGAAACACGAGAATAAGAAACATGGGGCAGTCTCCCTTGGAGGTGGAGATGAGAAACTGCCATAGCATAAGGGAGACCTTCTGCCTCTTTGAGGCAACAAATTTCCCGCTCATTTAAGTAGACCTGGCAACGGCGAGAGTACGAAGAGTGAGCCTCATGACAATTAAGGCAAGAGGGAGTTCGACTGCAAGACGTATTAGAATGGCCATCGGCACCACAGACTGGGCATTTGGCTATAGATCTGCAATATTTTGCTGGGTGGCCAAATCGCCAGCAATTTCTACACTGTTGCGGTGTAGGGATCACCTTCCAAACTTGTAACCGATGTCCTGCTAAATAAACGGAGGATGGGAGTTCACGGCTGTCAAAAGTTAAACGAGCCACATTGTCTTCGCCCGCGGGCAGGAAGAACATAAGTGTCTACCTTGAGAATTGGGAGATCTTTGAGTTCCAGCTGTTCGAGAATGTCAGTGCCACATGTCTGAAAATTCTGTTGGACTATGGTATGGGGCAGAATAACAATGCCACTACAAGAATTGAGGGAATGATGTTTTTCGATAGTGATAGAAATAGTATCGATATGTGAAAGAGAAAGATCATGAGCTTGGGTAGAATTCTGGACTGTGATGATGCGCATACCACTCTTAAGAGCATGAAAGGAAATATCTCTACCAACATGGCATAGGAGCGCTTTGCCAATACTATGGTCGGAAAGATAGGCAGTAGAAGTCGGTCTTAATGTAAAGAATTTAGTCCAGTGCGTGGTCCGAAACTGAGTGTGGAGAGGGAGTGCATGATGTGTCGGTCTTTTCCGAGTAGAATGGGAAGGTAACGAAGTAACATCATCAGGAGATTGTTGTTGATGTTTAGAAGTGGGACCAGAGTCGGTCCGACGTGGGAGAGGCTGGCGATTCAAAAATTGCTGCACCGTAGAGGGAGAAGCCGAAAGCATAGTCAAAGGAGAGTGGAGGTCAGACAAATTGAAGGAGTCAGTGGAAGCCCCGGTACCTGAAGCGGGTGAGGAACAGCACCAGCAAGAGGTACTGGGGCTTTAGGATTGTCCGAAGAGTGGCCAAAAGACGAGGCGAGGTTAGAACGGGGTGCAGTAACAATAAGGGGCCTGGGGGTAGTGGGGTCATGGATCGGGTACTCCATGGTTAGGTTACTTCTTTCTTTTTGTTTTTAAGAAAAAAAAGAAAGAAGAGAATAAAAATAAAAAAAAAAGAAAAAAAAAAAAGGGGGGACCGGGGAGGGATAGTTCCTAGGAGGAATGAAAGGGCCACAAATCTCCCTCCGCACCCAAGAGGACCTCAGCACCACAAGTAGCGCAGATGCAGCGTGGAACCCGTGCCATACCCTACCCATCATGCCAGTAAACCAGCAATCCGGGATAGCAGCCTCACATCTGCAGAGCTACCTCAGTGGACAAAAGAGAGGGCGGCCGGGTATCCACCACAAAGCATACCTCCTTCAGCCACCACCCCCGGAATCCGAAAGGTGGCTTCCAGAGATACACCCGTGGCCCGAAAGACACCCAAAGCCACCCTCCGGGATACCGGAGAGGGATTGGGACATCCCCAGGCAATCCAGATTCCACGGCAAACTACGCCACCGCCAAGAACCTCAACGGAATGGAATGGACCCCGGTACCCTTTCCCCTACCTAGGAACTAGTGCACCTGTGGGAAAAAATCCCAAAGGCCAAAAAGGAAGGGCAAAAGGGAGGGGTGGGGAGGAGGAGGAGGAGGAAAGGAAAAAGGGAAGGATGGGATAGGGAAGGGGGGATTGGGGGGTAATTAGGTTCAGTCTGAGGAAGGAGATCAACAGGTCTAATTCCTAAGACCAAGAGCCTCTTCACCACACCAAGGAGCCCCCCTTGAAGAGGTAAACCTGCATAGGTACGAATGATTTGTTTGTATTTATTGCATTTTTTTCAGCAGTATTTATTTTGAATCTGAGTTAAGTTAGGTAGATAATAAAAGAAATTAGCATATTTTATTGCATGTTTGGAGTTTAGTATAGGATGATTACGTTTATGTACCTACGTAGAATACTAAATAAAACAGAAAATATCGGCTAGCTAAACTCAACAGAAATCTTTATTTAGCTCAACTAAATCCTAAGGAATGTTGCCAACCTATTGCATCATAAATCACATAATTTTTTAATACACCAGCACTAAAGAAAGGAAGGACAGTGGAACCTTGGTGTCTGAATGTACCAGACCTCAAACAAACTGGAATTAGAACAATTTTATTCAGGAAAAAATTGGAAACAATTAAATTCAAACACCAGGATTCCAGTGCATATTCACCATCATTCATTCAATAGTTGTCTTGCAAAAAGTATGCAGACATCACAATTCATTATTATTATTATTACAGTAGAACCCTCGTATCCACAGATTCAGTTTCAGTTATCCATGGTTTACTGTGGCCCAAAAATAACCCTTAATTTTGCATAATAATGGCCCCAAAGCACAAAACTAGTGATGCTGGCAGTTCTTCATAACCTAAGACAAACCACGAAATGTTTTCCATCAGTAAAAAAGTGCTATTTCTAGACTTGTTTTGCTTAATTTATCAATTAAACTTTATCATAGGTATGTATGAAAACGAAAAATGACTTGTATATAGGGTTTGCTAATATCCATTGCTTCAGGTAACCATGGTAGGTCTTGGAAGGTATCCCCCGTGGATACGGAGGGACTACCGTATAATAATCATATAGTGCTTCAAGGAGGGATGCGTGAAAGTTGGTGCAATTGGTTAGTTTCCATTAAAAAGTCAAAGAGTGCATCAAAAGTGGGACTTTAAACAAGAACGTCAGAGTGTGTTGGGGTAATTTAGACGTCAAAAGATGTGTTGAACAGAGAGAGTGATCCAACAGTCTTTGCAGAGTGGTGCTGGTCGTTTCTCTTTTGTGGTACCCATGTGACACATCACAATTAAAATGACAAACTGAAATATCACACTCCTTCAAAAAACAAGCACTGCATTTCCCATCTCCAGTTTCCCAGAATCCTTTCATACCACCTTGCCAATGGCTCGCAAGTTCACATAAAAATCACTTCTTTCCGCACTGATCTAACACAGTGACACAATCCTGCTTCTATCATTCAAAATCTCCTTTACTGTCTTCCCTAAAACCCTTCCAAAATTCTACAACAATTATGAACTTTGTTTAAACCATTAAACCTTGTGCAACTGAACTTAAGAGTCATTTTAGGATATCAAAGCCATGATATTTGTCTGTGAGCATGTACAGGCTGGTATATCTTAGCATACTTACCATATTTCGAGGCTTATTAGATGCAATTTTTCCATAAAATGTCTCCATAAATCACCCTGTATCCTATAAACTGAAGGTCTGTCATGGGAGCTGTAAGTCAGGGGCAGGCAGTAGCTCTCTGTTATATCCAATGCCAAGCCATTGAAACTAAAACAAGTCTTATAAGCTGCGTCTTATAAGCTGTGAAATACAGTACTGTACACTGAAATTATTAAAAATAATCACATAAATTAATGTGTGTGTTTTACAAATTTATGATACAGAGAACTAATGAATGAATATATATAGATAGTAAAATTTTCATAATGCATAATATTCATGGAGGACTAATGAATCTGTAGAGGTTATACAATCCCAAGAGAATGGGAAGTAATCAGGTTTGTTCCAAGGCAGGGGAGGGTAGTTTAAATGCCTTGGCTCAAAAGCCCTTCATGAGCATCAAAACAACCCCCATCCCTTTGAAGAGTTTTAGTCCAATAAAAACCTAAGAGCAATGTTTGGTATGAAGATTATGCAGAGAATTCAGAGTGCAAAAATTAGTGTGGGGCTAACAAAGGATAACTCAAAAGATTCTGGAGCAGATTGTGTTCATCAAGAACTGCAAGAAGCCCCTATCACGAGCTTTTACCATCCTACGGAGAAGGAGCATGGACACGGGGGTCATCCCACAGTTACTAAAAACAACAGACATAGCCCCACTTCACAAAGGGGGCAGTAAAGCAATAGCAAAGAACTACAGACCGATAGCACTAACATCCCATATCATAAAAATCTTTGAAAGGGTCCTAAGAAGCAAGATTGCCACCCATCTAGAAACCCATCAATTACACAACCCAGGGCAACATGGGTTTAGAGCAGGTCGCTCCTGTTCGTCTCAACTATTGGATCACTACGACAAGGTCCTAGATGCACTAGAAGACAAAAAGAATGCAGATGTAATATATACAGACTTTGCAAAAGCCTTCGACAAGTGTGACCATGGTGTAATAGCGCACAGAATGTGTGCTAAAGGAATAACAGGAAAAGTTGGTAGATGGATCTATAATTTCCTCACAAACAGAACACAAAGAGTAGTAGTCAACAGAGTAAAGTCCGAGGTGGGTATGGTGAAAAGCTCTGTTCCACAAGGCACAGTACTCGCTCCCATCTTGTTTCTCATCCTCATATCTGACATAGACAAGGATGTCAGCCACAGCACCGTGTCTTCCTTTGCAGATGACACCCAAATCTGCATGACAGTGTCTTTCATTGCAGACACTGCAAGGCTCCAGATGGACATCAACCAAATCTTTCAATGGGCTGCAGAAAACAATATGAAGTTCAACGATGAGAAATTTCAATTACTCCGATATAGTAAACACGAGGAAATTAAAACTTCATCAGAGTACAAAACAAATTCCGGCCACAAAATAGAGCGAAAAACCAACATTAAAAACCTGGGAGTGATCATGTCGGAGGATCTCACCTTCAAAGACCCTAACATTGTATCAACTGCAGCTGCTAGAAAAATGACAAGATGGATAATGAGAACCTTCAAAACTAGGGATGCCAAGCCCATGATGACACTCTTCAGGTCACTTGTTCTATCTAGGCTGGAATATTGCTGCACACTAAGAGCACCTTTCAAGGCAGGTGAAATTGCTGACCTAGAAAATGTACAGAGAACCTTCATGGCGCGCATAACGGAGATAAAACACCTCAATTACTGGGAGCGCTTGAAGTTCCTGAACCTGTATTCCCTGGAATGCAGGTGGGAAAATCCTAGAGGGACTAGTACCGAACTTGCACACGAAAATCACTCACAACGAAAGCAAAAGACTTGGCAGACGATACAACATCCCCCAATGAAAAGCAGGGGTGTCACTAGCACGTTAAGAGACAATACAATAAGTGTCAGGGGCCCGAGACTGTTCAACTGCCTCCCAGCATACATAAGGGGGATTACCAATAGACCCCTGGCAGTCTTCAAGATGGCACTGGACAAGCACCTAAAGTCGGTACCTGACCAGCCGGGCTGTGGCTCGTACGCTGGATTGCATGCAACCAGCAGCAACAGCCTGGTTGATCAGGCTCTGATGCACCAAGAGGCCTGGTCACAGACCGCGCCACTGGGGCGTTGACCCCCTGAACTCTCTCCAGGTAAACTCCAGGTCCAGGTAGGTGATCTGGGCATACAGAGAAGATGGAGCTGAACAGGATGAACAAACATGTGTATAAAGCTGCAGTGGCAGGAAGAAGAGGTAGGAAGTCATCCCATGAAGGGATGGAAATAGGGGGTAATGTGAAATGCTGTAGGAGTGAAGTGATTAAGGAAAACTGGTTAGCTGGACTTGAGTTCTAGAGGTGGGAGGTACAATAAATGCACTGTGAATGAGGGATGGAGATGTCACAGTTCAGCAGTTCATCTGAATTGTGATATCTGTATGCTTTTGGCAACTCATATACAGTAGGGCCCCACTTATATGGCAGGTTAGGTTCCAGGCTACTGCCGGAAAGCAGAACGCCATTTTTTCCACTTATAAATGCAAATAAATGCCAGACAACAAGTTTACACTAACTTATGCAGTGGTACCTCGGGATACGAATTTATTTTGTTCCAGAAGGCTGTTCGAGTGCCGTTACCAAACGAATTTGTTCCTATAAAGAATAATGTAAATTAGATTAATCCATTTCAGACCCCCAAAAATACACTTTAAAAAAGCACTTACATAAATACACTTATTTAATTGTTCGAGTTTTGAGCTGTTTGTATCTCGAGGTACCACTGTATTAAGTTAGTAATACAACTAGGCATTAAAAAAAAATAAAAAGTAAAATACATACTCAGTACATTCATTATTTACCTCAAAATATTCGTAGTCTTAATGTAGGGCAAGAGGTGAGTAGTATTTATTTGTAGGAAGTCAGGTGTAGGTAGCCGGTAGATGTAGGTAGCCTGGGCTACACAGCTATATATTTAATGCGGCCCAGAGCCATATTATTACCACTGACATACCATGTTCACTGAGTTTAATCATTTCTAACAACTACCTTCAGATGCCATCATAAACGAAGAAGTAATGAATAATTCATGCCAAGAATTGTAAACAAAAGCATTGCCAAACGCAGATTTATATACATTTTCTCTGATGCTGGACCAGAGAAAACGTAATGTTTTCCCTCCGCGCAGCTACCACACCTCATAAACAAACAGCATGTTTATTTGTTATGTAACATGTTTCTTATATAATTTTGAAGAAAATATCATTGATTAATGAAAATTACTATATTAACATAAAATAAGACATTTAATGTGTCCAAGAGTGATTATTATTACTTATTAGTATTATTACTATGGCATTAAGACTAGAGAGAGAGACTGTGATTTTAATGTGTACCTGCATGCCAGCACAGTGTGTAAGTATATTTAGGTACAGGTACACATAAGTATAATTATCAGAGTACATATAAAATATGAAATAACTTTAAAACACTTGAAATTTTGGAAAGTTTCCAGACATCACAGATGTGCTCACGGAGAATGTAAACAAACTGGGTGGGGCATGCCGTATTAGAAAGACGGGTTGCTGTAGAGAGTTGTTTGGTCATTTGAAATTGCCGTGTTAGTGGAATGCCGTAAGGCGCTGGCTCTACTGTATTGAATGGTGGTGAAGAATGTGATTCACTTTTTAGATCACCCTGACTTGGTGGGAGATGGATGATGTGTTGAAAGAGTGAATTTGAGAATAAAAAGGCCAAAAAAGCTGAGCTGCAAAATGTTGATCACAATCTTGGGCAATTATTTATCATATCACAATTATGGTATCTATGGTTAAGTTGTAACATCAGTATTGTATTACAGACAACAGTGAAAATACATACTCATATCTAAGCTGGTATGTATCAGAAGCCTGAAAACAAACAACTGACATGTTTTGTCTTAAACAATAGAAGCAGTCTACCAACAAATGTATATGCTATGAATATCAGCTAATTGTATGAATATAAGTTTGCTCACTTTCAGAATTAAATTAATATATTTTTTCTGGTGTCAGTAGCTAACTAAAAGTATAATGGTGTTATGATCTTTTTTCAGATAAGGCAGTGATAAATGAAATTATTTTTATTATATTCATGAGGAGGAGTTAAACCTGTAAGGTTCACACAGCAGCTAAGAAATAGGAGGTAACCCGGTTAAATCTAAAGAATGGAGGGTAGCTCTAATTACATACTTAGATCAAGATCTTTTTACCAGCACATCAAGGCAAATGACACATAACCATGAATGAACAGAGAATGCAGATGAATGTGATATAAAAATTCTCCTGGAGGTGTGTGGTGTAGATTTTACTATAGCAGGCTATTTATTAATGTTAAAAGCACTCAAGTTTGTAGACACTGTAGTATCATCAACATCAGGCTCCGTGTCCTGGTGGCTAAAGCTCTTGCTTCACACGACGAGGGTCCGGGTTCGATTCCCAGAGAGGGTAGAAACACTAAGCGTGTTTCTTTACACCAGTTGTCTATGTTCCCCATCAGTAAAATGAGTACCTGAGTGTTAGTCGACTGGTGTGGGTCGCATCTTGGGAAAAAACTGACTTAATTTGCCCAAAATGCTCTGCATAACAAGTGGCTTTCTATATACTGTAGTACAGTAGTATGTCATTGATGTCAGCTAGGCCTGTATATCTTGTACATGTACTTGTAGTACTAAAGATATATTATTATTATCAGGCCAAGTGCCTCAAATAAACAAGTCTCTCCATGTTATTTGTCAAGAAATGACATGAATCTCTCAAAAGTCCTGTTCACCCAAAAATAGAAATATACTGGTGCAAACTACAAGTCAAATGCTAAAAATATAACAAAATTTAAAGACTTGGTACAATTTGCAAAACCTCTGTAGTTAAACAAGTTAAATAAAGGCAACCTGCATTGCCCTTGATTAAGCCCTAAACTTGTGTGAGTTATTCTGCACAAGGAATGGTGGAGGCTTGATCCTATATCCACTGTTTGTTGCATGCTCCCACCCCAGTCAGGGGTCTTTATGATCCCAAATAATGGTGCATATGCTGAAATAGCCCTTATTAGTAATAAGTCTCAATGGTATCAAATGCAATGTTACTTGTCCATAAGCTGTCAATCAAGAGAGAGGAATCATAAGTTTTTAAGGAACAGGCATTAAGCATGGCCACTTCGAAAGAATTTTCATTTTAACCATGAGGAAGAGAGCAGTAAAGCAGTAGGAGTTATACAGCACCTGGGAAATGTGAGTTATTCAGGTTTGATCCATGGAAGAGGAGGATAAAGCCTGTGGAAGAAGCATCACAATTCACAACAAATCCACAATTTGGAGAGAAAACTTAAGAGAATGTTTCAGTCCATCTTGAATAATATCAAGTTATATCTGAGAGAGAAAAATGGAAAAAGCCTGAAGAAAGATGTGGCAAGGTGAATGCCAGAAGAATGGCAAGGTGAGTGCCAGAAGAATGGCAAGGTGAGTGCCAGAAGAATGGCAAGGTGAGTGCCAGAAGAATGGCAAGGCAAGTTCCAGAAGAATGGCAAGGTGAGTGCCAGAAGAATGGCGAGGTGAGTGCCAGAAGAATGGTGAGGCGAGTACCAGAAGAATGGCAAGGTTAGTGTCAGAAGAAAGGTGACAAGGAAACCAAGCTCAGGTTAAGTCATGTGTTTTTAACATTAAAACATTTGACAATGTAGTGGGAAAGAGAAACCTCAATCTGGAGAGTTTATCTGGAGAGAGTTCCGGGGGTCAACGCCCCCGCGGCCCGGTCTGTGACCAGGCCTCCTTAGGTCAGTGTCCCAGGATGCGACCCACACCAGTCGACTAACACCCAGGTACCCATTTTACTGATGGGGAACATAGACAACAGGTGGAAAGAAACACGTCCAATGTTTCTACTCTGGCTGGGAATCGAACCAAGGCCCTCACAGTGTGAAGCGAGAGCGTTAACAAGCTAAAATTCATCCAGACTAAAATTCATATTTGGAATGTTGTGTATAATAACTCATTTTAAAACAAATGCATCTATGAAAACTAGAATAGGAATACATAAATAGTTGTGGCAGAGGACCCACTGATGACAGCAATGACAGATTCCTGAGTGACTCACCAACAAGGCATTGTGAGTGTTTAATCAAATTTAAACTATTTCTCAAAAAAAATCAAACAGGTTTACAAATATTTAGCCAAATATGGACCTTTAACACCAGGTATACAGCAATGACTGAAATACCACTGGCTGACAATGGCTTGATTCCACATATGTTTCCTAACTAATTTTGGGATGCTGACTCAAAAGTGAACTTGGTTTTGCTTCAAATGTCAAGTTTCTGTGAAATAAAACCCTATAGTGAAAGATTGGACCAAGACAAAGCCATCATGGAGGAGAGATATCAGGGAAACCTGACAAAGTTTGATGGCAGACTACTGCTGGACACTGGTGCAGGAGAACCTCACTCAACACAAGTGATAAAGCCTCCAAACAGTGATGTACAGTACATACCTTTGTATGACTGGAAATGTATTACCTTTCTTATGCATATACTGTATATAACAAATTTACATTAGAGAAACTAGCTTTTATCACTGCATAACTATACTTAATATCTATGTATAATGTAATACATATGATTGTTAGGTAACATATAACATGTGGTTCTTCAGCCTTAAATAGCCAAACTAATAATCATAAGATTAAAAAAAAACTTATATGACAGACTAAACAAGCTCTGTTTCATGATCAGTGCATCAAAATTAGCTTAAAACAACCTATTTTGTTTCTGTACTGGATAAAAAGTTGAATTTTGTTGGCTACTGTAATTAATCAATTTTTGAAAACTTCATCAGTTGCTGTAGTGAGTTGGTAACATTGCTTTGCCATACCCACAATCAATAGAAAATATGTACAGGTTATCTCTCATAGGAACTACAAGCTTTACTAGATTTTTTCTAGACACTGTTATCAATTATACGGCTTCTGTCCAAGTGAACTTCCATATGATTAATTAGATGTGATTTCCTTAAGAAGTCTTTCCCACACAGTGAACACTGATATGGTTTTTCTCCTCTATGAGCTCTCATATGCTTCACTAGATTCGAATTGTGCGAAAAATCTTTCAGACATTCTGAACACCGATATGGCTTCTCTCCTGTATGAACTCTTGTATGTTTTATTAGATCTGCTTTATTTAAAAAATACTTTTGACACTCTGAACACTGATATCGTTTCTCTCCTGTATGAAGTCGCATATGCTTTATTAGATTGGAATTTTGAGAAAAGACTTTTAGACATTCTGAACACTGATATGGTTTCTCCCCTGTATGCACTCTCATATGTTTTACTAAATATGATTTCTTTAAAAAGCATTTTACACATTCTGAACATTTATATGGTTTCTCTCCTGTATGAACTCTCTCATGAATTACTAGCTCTGATTTTTTCAAAAAGTCTTTAAGACATTCTAAACACTGATATGGTTTCTTTACAATATGAACTCTCATATGTTTTTCTAGAGATGACTTCTCTGAAAAGCCTTTCAGACATTCTGAACAGCGATATAGTTTCTCTTGCATATGAGTTCTCATGTGTTTTACTAGATTAGAATTTTGTGAAAAGCCTTTCAGACATTTTGAACACTTATATGGCTTCTCCCCTGTATGAACTCTCATGTGTTTTGCTAGATCTGATTTACTGAAAAATTCTTTTTTGCATTCTGAACACCTATGTGCTCTCTCATCTCCATGAACCTTCTCATGTTTTACCAAAAATGATTTGTATGAAAAGACTTTTAGGCATTCTGAACACTGATATGGTTTCTCTCCTGTATGAATTCTCTTGTGCAATACAAGCTGTGATTTGTTGGAAAATTCTTTTAAACAACGCGAACACCGATGCAACTTATCTCCTGTATGAGTTCTCTTGTGTCTCGCTAAAGAAGATTGTTCTCTGAAGTATTTCAAGCATTCTGAGCACTGAAATGGTTTCTCCCCTGTGTGAACCCTATTATGTTTTACGAGTGATGACTTCTCTGAAAATTCTTTTTGACATTTTGAACACTGATATGGTTTCTCTCCAGTATGAATTCTTGTATGTTTTATTAGAGAGGATTTAAATGAAAAGTCTTTTAAGCATTGTGAACAATGATAGGGTTTCTCTCCTGTATGAACTCTCATGTGCTTTAATAGATTTGATCCCTGGGAAAACTGTTTTAGACATTCTGAACAATGATATGGTTTCTCTTTTGTATGAACTCTTGTATGTTTTACTAGTGATGATCGCTCTGAAAATTCTTTTAGACATTGTGAACACTGATGTAGCTTCTCTCCCCTGTGAATTCTCGTATGTTTTACTAGCGATGCTTTAAATTTAAAGTTTTTAAGACATTCAAGACAATGATATGGTGTGACATCTGTATGAACTCTCATGTGTTTTATGAGAGATGAATTGTCTAAAGAGTCTTTCAGAGGTTCTGAACACCACTGCAGTTCCTCCTGTGAGCACCTGTAAGTTTTACTACAAGTGATGTCAAAAAGTTGACGAGCCATTGAGAATGACTATATAATCTGATTCTTCTTCTTAAATGAAAACTCTTGATACATTCAACACTTTCCTATAAACTTTCATGTGTTTTACTATAACTGCTTTCTTTTTCAAGGTATTGGAACATGAATTATTTCCTCACATTTACTACCAGAACTGAGTTATCTGAGAAGTGATTTTACTGAAACAGACTTATGAGTAAAGGCTTGAAAAATTAATATTTGTATAGTTTCTTTCTGGTATGAAAGTTCTGTTTTTATTCCACACTAGCAATGCAAATTTTGTTTTGCCTTTGAATAAGAAAAATGATTTTTGGAATTTCCTATTAAAAACTGAAGACAGTAATGTTTACACTTGAACCAAGCTTGTTTCTACAGCTTATTTTCAAATTATAAAACAAACAATTTTACTCAACTGCACAAAAGTAAGGATTATGATGAGTGCACAAGAAATGCCACTGAACAACATCAAGTGGAAGAAAATCTTTTTATAAAGAAATCACATGACAAGGAACAATTTACACCTACAGTAGTTAATGAAGTGACTGAGATACTTCAGTGGAGGACCTGACAGTGTGGTGGTGCTGGTACTCAATGAGGCTGCTGGGTCAGGAGTGTGGTGGAGGTGCTGGTACTCATTGAGGATGCTGGGTCTGGAGTGTGGTGGAGGCACTGGTACTCAGTGAGGCTGCTGGGTCAGGAGTGTGGTAGAGGCACTGGTACTCAGTAAGGCTGCTGGGTCAGGAGTGTGGTAGAGGCACTGGTACTCAGTGAGGCTGCTGGGTCAGGAGTGTGGTAGAGGCACTGGTACTCAGTAAGGCTGCTGGGTCTGAAGCATGGTGGAGGTGCTGGTACTCAGTGAGGATGCTGGGTCTGGAGTGTGGTGGTGGTGCTGGTACTTGGTGAGGCTGCTGGGTCTGGAGCATGGTTGAGGTGCTGGTACTCAGTGAGGATGCTGGGTCTGGAAAATAGTGTAGAGTTCTGTCACATATTTGGTTACCTTATTCCACTTTCATCTTCAGTGGCAAGTGACTTTCCATCATCAAGAAAGTGGGAAGAGTCTACGTAGAGAATATTACGACACATGAAGAGCTTTGCATTTCTTAGTATGTATATTTTATTGACTAAATTGTCATATGACACTCAGGGAAACAGTGGCATTATAAAGAGCATCATTAGTGACATAGTCATATGGAAAAAATGTCTAAAAAGTCTTTTTGAACATGCACACTGATGTTAATTTTCACTATGCTCATGGTGTCCCATCTTCAATACATAATCTGTTTGTCATATTATTTTTCTAAAATTTTAGTTAATATGAACTTAATTTTTGAATGAGTTTCTTTTTATGTAAATTCTCTGGTAATAAGTGTGCCATGCAGTGGAGATACAGTATATTTTTGTGATTATGTGAATATATATCTATACAGTGGAACCCCATTTACAGGCCGTTGCGGATATTGGCCAATTCGGAAATTGAGCACTCTTATCAGTGAAATTTTGCTCCGGATATTGGCCATGCTTTCGGTACAGGCCGTATGAGACACATCACCACCAACCGGAGACGCTCCTCCTCACATGTATCACACATAGTCTGTGTCTCTCTCTCTCGTTGGATTAGGAATACTTCGCGGCTTCATCCACTGTTTCTGGTGTATTTTTGTTGATTGCAACTGCAAAATAAGCAACCATAGGCTCAAAGAAAGTTCCTAGTAAGTTTCTTTGGTAAAGAAAGTGAGAAACATGATGGAATTTAAGAAAGAAGTTGGTGAAAAGTATGAGAGTGGTGTTTGAGTGCTAGAACTTGCCAGGATGTATGGGAAATCCAAATCAACAATCACTTCCATCCTGGCAAAGAAAGTAGAAATCAAGGAAGCTAATGTTGCAAAAGGGAGAGTAGCATGGAGGGAGGGAGTGTAGCAGGGAGGCAGGAAGTGTAGCAGGTAAATGGAGTGTGGAAGGGAGGCAGGGAGTGTAGCAGGCAGGCAAGGAGTGTAGCAGGCAGGCAGGGAGTGTAGCAGGCAGGCAGGGAGTGCAGCATAGAGGGATGGCGTGTAGCAGGCAGTGTAGCAAGCAGGCAGGGACTGTAGTAGGGAGGCAGGGTGTAGCAGGGAGTGTAGCAGGCATGCATGAAGTGAAGTAACCCCAGAGAGGGCTTTGATACCTGAAGTCCTTATGGAGGGGGATTCCCCTTCCCAACACTAATCAGTCCTCCCTCTCTCCACCTCCCTGTCTTCCCTAAGCCAAAAAGTCTTCAATAAAAGGTATCTAATAGTGATTTAAATGTTCATTTATTTATTTTATTTAGCTCTCATTGTTTTTTGTATGTAAAACTATAGTTAATCTTTAAAAAAGTATTTTTTCTTAATATTTTTGGGTGTCTGGAAAGGGTTAATTGTATTTACATTACATGTATTTCTTATGGGAAATACTGATTCGGTTTTAAGCCATTTCGGATTTAGGCCAACCTTCTGGAATTGATTATGGCCTATAACCGGGGTTCCACTGTATATTTTAATATAACCTAACCTATGTTACCGAACCTAAACTAACAGTTTTATAGTTGCTTTATGTTAGATTGGGTTAGGTTGAAGTGGGCTGTGTTGTGTTTGGCTAGGCAGTGTTGGGTTTAGCTGGGTTGTGTTGGGTTTGGCTGGGTTGTGCTGGGTTTGGCTGGGTTGTGCTGGGTTTGGCTGGGTTGTGCTGGGTTTGGCTGGGTTGTGTTGCATTTGGCTGGATTGTGTTAGGTTTGGCTGGGTTGTATTGGGTTTGGCTGGGTCAGGATGGATATGGCAGGATGAGTTGGGTTGCATTATGTTATTAAACTTGCCAAAATAAAGCTTCTCTACTGTTTGTTTAAAATAAAACTGAATGCATAAAACATCCAATTTAAAATAAAAGAATTTATATAACAAGTGATATCATTATTTTACCTATTATCACATAAATAAATTTCACAACAAATAACTATTTTTCCCGTGCAATTGATAACAATATCATAATGCTGTAACAACTTTATTTTCTACAAGTACATGTACAAGGCATACAAGCCTAGCTGACATCAGTGACATACCACTATATAGAAAGCCCCTTGTTATACAGAGCAATCTGGGCAAAGTAGGTCAATTTTGTCCCAGGATGCAACCCACACCAATCAACTAACACTCGGGTACCCATTTTGCTGATGGGTGAACATGAACAACAGGTGTAAGGAAACATGCTATATGTTTCTGCCCTTGCTGAGAATCGATCCCGGACCCCTCAGTGTATGAAGAGAGAGCTTTGCCTACCAGGCCATGAGCCACCCTGTATGTTATTTATAAAACAGAATGCTACAAAATTTCTAATGGTTACTTGTTCGAGCCATCCTCTGGGGGTAAAAAAAGGGCCTAAAATCTGTAACTCCCTGCCTGAAAACTCTTGAACCGCAGACTCAACCACCATTTTCAAAATTACCGTAAAAAATATCTCATCTCCCTAACACACTCCATCATCAGCTATGTGAAAACCACCTATTCTCTTTTTTGTATCGTGAACACATCCAAAACAAAACAGACTTACTCTCATTATCTGTAATTCCACCCTATTTTACACTTACACTCACCTAAATGACTGTAAACATAAAATTCCTAATACAGTTATTACCTAATAAATCTTAAGTTAGTCCTAAGTTTGATTGAAATACTTTCCCAATATAGGAGCTTTTATAGAAACAGTGTATCATGCCAAGGTAAAACCATTCCTGTTACTTAATTTACTAATTCTAATACTGCTATATGCTTTGTACTACCTCACTATTATCAATCTAATTAATGTTAATCAGTTCAGTTACCTAGCTTTTATATCAGTATGTAATAATGTATATTAAAATGTACTGCTCCATAACCTGTGTCAATATAGAGTAAGAATTAGGATTAGTCTGCCCAAAATGCCTAGGCATGCTAGTGGCCTTCTTTGTACAGTAATTAACATTTTATAATATGTAAACCACACATTGTAAGCTTTGCAAGGAAATTAACATTTTCATTTTCAATAATGAGAAAGAATGCTCCACCCACCTGCAGCTGTTGATGGGATTTAAACATAAACAATGCTCAACCTAATACAACTGTTAATTGGGTTGAACAAACAGAAACAATGGTCCATCTACTTACAACTGTTAATGGGGTTTAACCCTTTTAGATGCCGACAGGTAGAACTACATCACTGAGGCCAGGGTCCCTCATGTAGTTCTGTGTCATGAGCTCAACTCACTCAGATAAGCTGCAAGCAGAAAATTTTGCCCTAGATATGAGAGAATAGACCTGTGCAGCAAGTGTGCACAGTATAATAAAAAAAAACCTGCCCCATGCAGTGCACAAAGGTAAAAGCAAAAATACTAACACTGTGTGGGGTTTAAAAAAGCAATTTTGAGGTGTTTTCTAGGATAGTTTTTATGGTTTTATTGGCTATTTCTTGGTATCATTTAACAGAATGGAAGACATACTACTGAAATTGATATGATTTTGGTTGGTTTCAGGCTGGAAGTTGCTTGAAATTGGGATCAAAATATGGGAAATATTCTATTTTGGCCAATTTCCCTGAGGATGGGTAAGGCCCCCCTACACCCCTGATCTGTTTTATAAGTTTTTTATTAGGTCTGATTCAATTACTAGAACACTATAAACCATGACCAATTATTCCTGGTTATATTTTAATATCTAAGAAATAGAGTAAATGTTTTATTTTTGTGTGATTATGATTTCAAAACAGAATCCAAGTGTAATATAGAAGAGGCCTGAGAGTATAATTAATGAACAAACGAAATGTTGTTTTAGTGCCTGGAATGTCTACACTGTTTATTTTGGACTATTTTTAAATTGGTATTTTTTTAATTTTGTATGAAAATGGCCAAGTTATCGACTTGTGTGCACTATATAGAGTAGTTGTAACTGATGAAAAGGTTTCTTGTGCTTAGCTGATAAAATGAAAAGCATACTATGGAAATAGCTAAGAATTTAGTTGAAAAGAGCAATGGAAATGGCCTAAAATAGGACTCAAATTGCACAAAACTGCCTATGTAAATTTCACCGAGACTGCTAATATAATTACATGAGTTTTCCATCAAATTTAGTTCTTTTTTTGTCATTACCTTCAGAAAGATTCTCTGCCATTTCAAAAGAATTTTTTTTTTTTAAATTTGATGCTGAGAGCAATATTAATTTTGAGGGGTCTGGATAGTGAAACAATGGTCCACCTACCTACAGCTGTTAATGGGGTGTCCTGTGGCTCAGTTGGCAGTGGACTTAGTTCACAAACTGAGTGTCCATGGTTCGATCCCTGACACAGGTGGAAATATTGGGCATATTTCCAAACACCTGTTTCCCATGTTCACCTAGCAAACCAACAGATACAGATACTAATGCCGGAAAAAAAATTCCCCCCCAGTACCAACAATGCCACCAGTCCGATGACATTCTTCTTTGCAAATATACAGGGTCTAAAGCCAGCAACAAACAACAAAATACCTTTCATCCGTGGACTGCTTGCAGAGGCAAAGGCGATGTTCGCGGCTTTCACTGAGACCCACATAAAGGATCACTTGGACAACGAAATATGGATCCCAGGTTACAACCTATACAGATGTGACAGAGTGAACAGGCAAAAAGGGGGGGGGGGGGTTGGCCTGTACATTGCAGAGTCACTTGTTTGCACAGAACTGCTTAATGCCTCAAATGATGTAGTGGAAGTTTTAGCAGTAAAGGTCGAGAACCAAAACCTAGTCATTGTGGTAGTCTACAAGCCTCCGGATGCAACATCCCAGCAATTCCAGGAACAGCTGTTAAAAATTGACCACTGTCTGGAAAATCTTCCAGCTCCTGCACCCAACATCTTGCTCCTGGGGGATTTCAACTTAAGACACCTAAAATGGAGGAATATAGCAAATAATATTGTTGCAGTAATAACACCAGGAGGCAGCTCTGATGAAAACTCACACTCACACGAGCTTTTAAATCTCTGCACAAAATTCAATTTAAACCAGCAAATAATAGAGCCTACTAGACTGGAGAATACACTAGTCCTCATCTTCACTAACAATGATGATCTGATAAGAAATGTCACCATATCAAAAACAATATACCCAGATCACAACATAATTGAGGTTCAGACATGTATGCGTGGAGCCCCAGACCGACATAATGAGACTAGTCACGAGGGAGCATTCACCAAATTCAACTTCAATAACAAAAACATAAAGTGGGACCAAGTAAACCAAGTCCTAACCGATATAAGCTGGGAAGATATACTAAGCAACACAGACCCCAACTTATGCCTAGAACAGATTAACTTGGTGGCACTCGATGTATGCACAAGGCTTATTCCTCTAAGAAAAAGGATGAGTAGATGTAAAATAGAGACAGGCGCTCCCTTTACAGGCGACGGAAAAGAATAACAGAGCGGCTAAAAGAGGTCAATATATCTGAAATACGTAGGGAGACACTGGTCAGAGAAATAGCAAGCATCGAACTTAAGCTAAAGGAATCTTATAGGAGTCAAGAATCGCGGGAAGAACTAAAAGCCATAAATGAAATCGAAAGAAACCCAAAGTATTTCTTCTCCTATGCCAAATCAAAGTCGAGAACAACGTCCAGTATTGGGCCCCTACTTAAACAAGATGGGTCCTACACAGATGACAGCAAGGAAATGAGTGAGCTACTCAAGTCCCAATACGACTCAGTTTTTAGCAAGCCGCTAACCAGACTGAGAGTCGAAGATCAGAATGAATTTTTTATGAGAGCCACAAAATTTGATTAACACAAGCCTATCCGATGTTATCATGATGCCAAATGACTTCGAACAGGCGATAAATGACATGCCCATGCACTCTGCCCCAGGGCCAGACTCATGGAACTCCGTGTTCATCAAGAACTGCAAGAAGCCCCTATCATGAGCCTTTTCCATCCTATGGAGAGGAAGCATGGACACGGGGGTCGTCCCACAGTTACTAATAACAACAGACATAGCCCCACTCCACAAAGGGGGCAGTAAAGCAACAGCAAAGAACTACAGACCAATAGCACTAACATCCCATATCATAAAAATCTTTGAAAGGGTCCTAAGAAGCAAGATCACCACCCATCTAGAAACCCATCAGTTACATAACCCAGGGCAACATGGGTTTAGAACAGGTCGCTCCTGTCTGTCTCAACTATTGGATCACTACGACAAGGTCCTAAATGCACTAGAAGACAAAAAGAATCCAGATGTAATATATACAGACTTTGCAAAAGCCTTCGACAAGTGTGACCATGGCGTAATAGCGCACAAAATGCGTGGTAAAGGAATAACAGGAAAAAGTCGGTCGATGGATCTATAATTTCCTCACTAACAGAACACAGAGAGTAGTCGTCAACAGAGTAAAGTCCAAGGCAGCTACGGTGAAAAGCTCTGTTCCACAAGGCACAGTACTCGCTCCCATCTTGTTCCTCATCCTCATATCCGACATAGACAAGGACGTCAGCCACAGCACCGTGTCTTCCTTTGCAGATGACACCCGAATCTGCATGACAGTGTCTTTCATTGCAGACACTGCAAGGCTCCAGGCGGACATCAACCAAATCTTTCAGTGGGCTGCAGAAAACAATATGAAGTTCAACGATGAGAAATTTCAATTACTCAGATATGGTAAACACGAGGAAATTAAATCTTCATCAGAGTACAAAACAAATTCTGGCCACAAAATAGAGTGAAACACCAACGTCAAAGACCTGGGAGTAATCATTTCGAAGGATCTCACCTTCAAGGACCATAACATTATATTAATCGCATCTGCTAGAAAAATGACAGGATGGATAATGAGAACCTTCAAAACTAGGGAGGCCAAGCCCATGATGACACTCTTCAGGTCACTTGTTCTATCTAGGCTGGAATACTGCTGCACACTAACAGCACCTTTCAAGGCAGGTGAAATTGCTGACCTAGAAAATGTACAGAGAACCTTCACAGTGCGCATAACAGAGATAAAACACCTCAATTACTGGGAGCGCTTGAGGTTCCTAAACCTGTATTCCCTGGAACGCAGGTGGGAGAGATACATGATTATATACACCTGGAAAATCCTAGAGGGACTAGTACCGAACTTGCACACGAAAATCACTCACTACGAAAGCAAAAGACTTGGCAGACGATGCAACATCCTCCCAATGAAAAGCAGGGGTGTCACTAGCACGTTAAGAGACCATACAATAAGTGTCAGGGGCCCGAGACTGTTCAACTGCCTCCCAGCACACATAAGGGGGATTACCAACAGACCCCTGGCAGTCTTCAAGCTGGCACTGGACAAGCACCTAAAGTCGGTTCCTGACCAGCCGGGCTGTGGCTCGTACGTTGGTTTGCGTGCAGCCAGCAGCAACAGCCTGGTTGATCAGGCTCTGATTCACCAGGAGGCCTGGTCACAGACCGGGCCGCGGGGGTGTTGACCCCCGGAACTCTCTCCAGGTAAACTCCAGGTAAGCAGTAAGTAGGTAACTAGGTGTTATGTTTTTATGTTGGTTGAATTACCGACAATATGTTAGATAAAAGGACACAAGTGCAACTAATGTGACATTTTATTGTGGCAACGTTTCGCTCTCCACGAACTTCATCAAGCTGGCTTGACAAAGCTCCTGGAGAACGAAACGTTGCCACAATAATATGTCACATTAGTTGCACTTGTGTCATTTTACCTAACAACAAGGTGTTAGTCGACTGGTGTGGGCTGCATCCTGGGGATGAAGATTGAAGGACCACAATGGAAATAAAACATACCAACCTTGATGACACACTGACTGGATGGGTAACCCTCTCACGGGTTAAAAATCCCTACTATATCTTATCTTAATAGAGACAATGCTTTGCTAGCCTATAATTTTAATGGGGTTTAATAAACACTAACAGTGCTCTACCTACCTACAACTGAAGCTGTGGTTCTTCCTGTAAGTCAGTGTTTCGGTGTTCACTGACTGGCACGTTTCGCCACACTCAGAAACCTTACAGACAGATGAACACTTCATGTTGTTGTTGTTGTTGGGTTTGTAAGGGTCACTGACAGCTTACGGCTTATTGAGTTCAGTCTCCCGAAGTACAGGTAAGATTTTGCTCGGATTTCTAACACCGGACTGTCTGTCTTATTACCATTGGAGTCCTTCAATTTTGTCCCCCAGGATGCGACCCACACCAGTCGATTAACACCCAGGTATCTACTTACTTGCTGGGTGACGGTAGGCCTAAGGGGACAACAACTGTAAGGAATCAGCGCCCAATGTTTCCACCAGAGCAGGGTTTGAACCACGGACACTCATTGTGTGAAACGAGAGCGTTATCTACAATACCGTAACTGGAACGACACACAAATAACTCTGGCGACGTTTCGATCCCATTTGGACTAGTTATTGGTTCAAGTCTGACCGAAACGTCGTCAGTTTCATTCTTCTTTGTGCAAATTTATTTAGGCGCAGGAACACAAGTACAATTATCATACATAGCGTAAATTGTCTAGGATAACCCAAAAAGCCAGACAAAGTGACTTATTTCCACTGGTTATTTGTGTACGTGGAAGAGATGCTGCCCAAAACTGGATCATGAATCCCTTTGTAAACAGAAGCAGAAACTATAGTTCCCAAATGGACCAGGTGGACCTCCCTCACCAAGCCCCAGGAGAGCCGGACGCCCACACTCTCACCTGAGTTCAGTAGTTTAACAGCTCTAACATGCACTCCATACCCATCCTGGGGGCAGTAATCAAAGGATTATAGAGGTATATAATGAGTCCAGGGACTGGGCCGCAAAGTTTTGATAGATGAACAAGTGAGAGTGGTAATGAGCTATTTTCATGTTTATATATTGGCTGGTGCCACCGCACTACCATACTCTGAAAAAACTTTCCCTTTTTCTCTTGTTGTTGTCCTTGCAACATTGCACAGCTCCTGATAACGCACTGAGAAGTGTGGAAGCACTTGAGCTAAAGATTTCCGCCCCCGTGGCTTGTATTGCATATATATATATATATATATATATATATATATATATATATATATATATATAATATATATATAATATATAATATATATATATATATTTATATATAAATTAAACTTCAATTTAAACTCTTCTCTCAAACTTCTCCTTGACAGCTACAACAGAACACACAGGCACAACACAAAGCACAAAACTCTCTGACACCTCTCGTGTCTGCCTCACCCTGTGCAAAAATACAATGCATATAAAAGGCCGCAAAATCTAAAAATCATTGCCCGAACCAGCGGAAGGTCCTCTGTCTGCCAGTCAATTTAGAGGTATAATTAGAAATCACTTCATCTCCCAAACGTAATTATAACAAACAAAACCAACTCATCAAACTACTTAGGTTTCTTCCCCATCTGTTATAATAATAATTATATAAAAAAAAGAAGTGCTACACCTACAAGGGTCATATAGCATCGCTTATATAATATGTCCTAGCCTGAAATCTTAGAGCCAATTAAGCTACTGGAAACTACTCGAAAAAGCAATGTGAAGGACCTGGGAGTGATAATGCCATAGGACCTCACCTTCAAAGACCACAACAATGTATCTACCGCATCTACAAGAATAATAGGATGGATAATGAGAACTTTCAAAACTAGGGACTCCAAGCCAGTGATGATTCTCTTCAAATCGCTTGTTCTCTCTAGGCTGGAATATTGCTGTATATTAACTGCCCCTCTTCAAGGCAAGAGAAATTGCTGACCTGGAGAGTGTACAAAGAATTTTCACGGCACACACAAATATGATAAAGCACCTAAATTACTGGGAATGATTAAAGTCCCTTGATTTGTATTCCCTGGAGTGCATGCGAGAAATATACATGATAATACAGACTTGGAAAATCCTAAAGGGATTGGTAACAAATTTGCACATGAAAATCACGCCCCATGAAAGCAAAAGACTCGGCAGGAGATGCAACATTCCCCCAATGACAAGCAGGGGCGTCACGAGTACACAGAGACAACACAAAAAGTGTCAGGGGCCCCAGACTGTTCAACTGCCTCCCAGCATACATAAGGGGGATTATCAACAGATCCCTGGCTGTCAAGTAGGCGCTGGACAGGCACGTAAAGTCAGTACCTGACCAGCCGGGCTGTGGTTCGTACGTCAGTTTGCGTGTGGCCAGCAGTAACAGCCTGGTTGATCAGACCCTGATCCACCACGAAGCCTGGTTTCAGACCGGGCCGCGGGAGCGTTGACCCCCGAAACCCTCTCCAGGTACACTCAAGAAATTCCAGTTAACCTTAGATCACTAAATTAATTTAAAGTATTAATAAATACCTAAAATTGTACAATTATAAATTGTACTAATTGTAATATTTTTTTGGCTACCTCTCTACAGTAATTTTTTCTAAGTACAGTATATTTTTATTAGCTCTTTTGTAATAATACACAATTAAAATTTACCTCTCCATAACCTCCCCAGACATCTTACTACTAAGAGATTTCAACCTGAGACACCTAAAATGGAAGAGTTCAGCAATGTTTTAGCAGAGATCACCCCGGGAGGCAGCTCAGATGAAAATCCACACACACGAACTATTAAATCTCTGCAACAAATTCACCTTAAACCAGCAAATAGTAGAGCCTACAAGATTAGAAAATACGTTGGACCTCATCTTCACTAACCATGACGATCTGATACGTAATATAACTGTATCAAAGACAATACGCTCAGATCAAACAAATAAGGTACAACATTATGCACAGGGCTCCGGCCCAGAAAAATGTGAGCAGTTTTAAAAGTCCTTCTAAATTTTCATTTTAATAACAAAAACAAATAAGGGGACAAGTAAACCATGCCCTAAATGAAAAAAGCTGGGAAATATCCAAACAACACGGACTAACATTTCCCTTAAAAAAAAATAATTTGTGGTTCTTGAGTCTGCTAAAGCACATTTCCATTAAGAAAAAGAAAGAAATTTAAACTAAAGAGGACGTTCCCTTCAGACGAAGGCAAAGAGCCACGAACTGCTAAGGGGGGTAATGTTCCGCGGGGAGGAACTATCAATGAAATTGCAAATTCAAATAAAGCTAAAGGAATCTTATGGGGAGACAAAAATCACAGGAAGAACTAAAGCCAAAAGGAAATTAAAAAAAAAAAATACATACTTCCAGTATTGGGCCCCGATAGGGGGAGGCATGTACAGAGATAGCCAAAAAATGATGAGATAATAAACCCCAATATACTCAGTGTTCAGCGAGCCACTGCCCATTTAAGGGGTGCAATCCAAATGAATTCTTCAGAACAAAACCCCAAAAATTTGGTCATCTCAAAAATCTGGGATATTAATAATTCAAAACGCACAAGACTTTGAAGGGGCAATTATTTTTAATAATCCCCCTGCACTTCCCCCCCCAGGCCCAGCTCGGGGAACCCCCCGGTCATCAAATTGCAAGAACCCCCTATCGCACCCTTCACATTTTAATGGAGAGTGAGCAGGACACGGGGTCACACAACATTAAAAAAAACAGCAGCCCCACTCCACAAAGGTGGCATTTAAAGGATTGCAAAAACTACAGACCGATAACACTAACATCCCATATCCTAAAAACTTTGAGAGGGGTTTAAGAAAAAAGATATTCAACCACCTAGAACCAACAATTACACAACCGAGAGCAAGATGGGTTTAGGCGGGTCGCCCTGCCTGTCCCAGCTACGGGCCACTGACAAGGCCGGGAGCTGAGAGGTAAAAAAAATACAGATTATATACACAGATTTTGCAAAAGTTTTCGAAAATATAAAGGAATAAGGGGAAAAAAGTGGTAGATGGATCACAATTTCCTGAAAAAGGAACAGTTTATTTTAATATGTTTTTATCACCCCAACCCCATCCTGGGGGCGGTGTCAAAAGTTACAGGGTAAAAATTGGCCCGGGGATGGACCCAAAAGTTTGATAGCTGAGCAAGTTACAGGGTAAGAACTCAAAATTTTTACAAAGGTAATGAACTCAAAATTTTTACAAAGGAAAATGAACTCCAGGTAGGTCTGTCAAAATCATGACAATTACAAAGGTTTTTACAGTTTACAGGGGTCAATGGTCCGGGGACGGCCCCAAAATTTTTTGATAGTGAACAGGTACAAAGGTAATACTCACAAGTTAAAAAGGTAATAAATTTCTGTAAATGGTTACTTATTTTTATAAAAAGGCTACAATCATAAAACAAATTAAGAGTAATGATGACAGGAGGATAATGAGAACCTTTCAAAACTAGGGGGGCCAAGCCCATGAGACACTTTTTCGGGCACTTGTTCTATCTAGGCTGGAAAATGCTGCCCAAACACACCTTTCAGGCAGGTAAAATTGCCGACCTAGAAAATGTACAGAAATTTTTCACGGCGCGCAAAGGGAGATAAAACCCCTCAATTTACTGGGGCGCTTGATTTTCAAAACCTGTATTCCCTGGAACCAGGGGGGAGAGATACATGATTATCTCACCGGGAAAAATCCTAGGGGGACTAGTACCGAACTTGCACACGAAAACACTCATTACGAAAGAAAAGATTTGGCAGCATGCACCTTTCCCCCCAATAAAAAGCAGGGGTGTCACGCACTTTTTAAGAGCCATACAAAAAGTGTCAGGGCCCGAGATGTTAACTGCCCCCAGCACCAAAAGGGGGGATTACCAACAGCCCCCTGGCAGTCTTCAAGTGGCACTGGACAACCCTAAAAGTCATTTCCTGATCACCGGGCTGGGCTCGTACGTTGGTTTGCGGCAGCCGCAGCAACAGCCTGGTTGACAGCGCTGATCCACCAGGGGGGCCGGGCAAAACCCGGGGCCCGGGGGGCGTTACCCCCGAAACTCCTCCAGGAAAACTCCGGAATGAGAATTCACACTTCCACACCGGCCAATGTAATGGTTATGGTCAAATTTTGTTGTTGAGTCACAACCCACACACACACACACACACACACACACACACACACACAACACCCCACACACACAACACACACACACCAGGTGATAAGGCTGAGGAAAAGAAGGTGGAAAACTCACAAGAAACGTCAAGAGGTATTA